CTTGCATGCCTGCAGGTCGACTCTAGAGGATCCCCGGGATCCAGGGATCCAGGAATTCGAGGATCCAAGGACCCAATGATCCAAAGATACAAGGATCCAAAGATACAAGGATACAAAGATCCATGGATCTAAGGATCCAGGGACGCAGAGATTTGCCTATGATTGTAATTTTCGAAAATTTCAAACCACATTTCTAAAAAAATACTTTTAAAATCGAAATTCCAAATTTTTCCAAGCATTCAAAGTGTGTATTTTTTTAGAGTTTTGGAGGATTTTCAAATATTGAAACAAAACCATTATTCAAAAAAATGAAAAATGGAAACTGAAAAAGTATACGTCACTGAAAGGAAATCTGTCATATTCAGAATGAAACAAAATAAAAAAAATTATGATGAAAAAATGGAAAAAAGGGGGAAAATGAGACCAAGAAACAAATTCTGAAAGAAAAGATGTAGAAAATTTTGAAACAGTAATTTGTGAGAAAAATGGAACTACTGTCTTAAAAAAATAGAATTTATGGGAATTTCAGCTTTATAAACGCATTATTTTATGATTTTCGCACATTTTGAAAGTTTTTCAGAAATCGATTTTTGTTTGAAAAGTTCACTGTTTCAAAAATAATTTTTCAATTTTGGAAATAATGAAAATTTGATTGAACGATTCCCAATTACTATTTCCAAAATTTCAAATTTTCAGAATTTTCAAATTTTTCGAATCTACAAAATTGAAATTTTCTTAAAATTTGTCTTAAAAACAAGGGGAAGAAAATCTGAAAATCCTGCTGATAAGGGATTTGGATTTATCCTCTTTTTCTTATCAAAACAACAGCTTCTCTTTTTTTTGTCTTAGCTGTGAGTAGCTAAATCCTCTAAAAAAACTGAAAATCTGGAAATCCTGCGAAGCAGTGTGCCTTATCGAAAAATATTTTCCGATTTTGTCGACAAATTTACCTGACAAATTATCGATAAATTTGTCGATAAAAAACGATAAAATTTTGTCGATAAATTGTCGACAAATTATCGGTAAATTTGTCGAAAGTAATTTATCGACAAAATTTTGTTGACAAATTGTCGATAAATTTGTCGAAGGGGGCATTTGTCGACAAATTATCGACAAAAATTGCTATTAACCGCCGGAATTACTTGTAAAAAATTGTATCATTACCATTTTTTTTAGGCCATCTGACCTGGTGGCCTAATTTTTCTAACATGAATTTTCTAGGCCACCAAACTTTTTGACCTGAAAATGATCAGATATTCATCTGATATGTTTTCTAGACCATTTTAACCCGGTGGCCTAGAAAACTGCATGCGCGAAAGTTAGGCCACCATGTTAAAATGACCTAAAAACACACCAGGAACATCAGATCATTTCTAGGCTAAAAAGAATCGTGGCCTAGAAAATTCATGCTGTGAAAGTTGGGCCACCAAGCCAGATAGCCTATAAAGTTTGCCTGGGTAAGTTCTTCCATCATTTTAGACGTCCTAGGAAAAAATGGTAACGATACGATTTTTTACAAGTAATTCCGGCGGTTCATAGCAATTTTTATCGACAAATTTATCGACAAATTGTCGATAAATGTTGTTTTTATCGACAATTTGTCGGTAATTTTCCGATAATTTTACCGGTAAATTTGTCGATAAATTTGTCGTAAAGGGCGTTTGTCGACAAATCATTTGTCGATAAGGCACACTGCTGGGAAGGGATAAATAAGCAGGGATAAGACAAAAAATGATGATTTTTTTGAAAATTTAAAAAAAAAATTGAAAAAAATGGGAATTATGGGACCAAAAAATGAATAATTCTAAAAAACCAATTTTTAATTCAACATTTTTTTGAAATAGTAATTTTTTTTCAATTAATAGGAATTGTTTTTTGCCCATTTTCAGCATTATTTTTAATTTTGAAAAAGTTTTGAATTTTCAATTTCAAACTTTTTCAAAAAAAAAAATATTTCCAACAATTTTGAGAAAATTCAATGAAAAAGTTATAGAGTAGTAAATGAAACTGCAATTTTTGAAAATCTAAAATTTTTTAGATTTTTTTTAGAAATTCAGAAATTCAGAAATTCAGAAATTCAGAAATTCAGAAATTCAGAAATTCAGTAATTCAGAAATTCAGAAATTCAGAAATTCAGAAATTCAGAAATTCAGAAATTCAGAAATTCAGAAATTCAGAAACTCAGAAATTCAGAAATTCAGAAATTCAGAAATTCAGAAATTCAGAAATTCAGAAATTCAGAAATTCAGAAATTCAGAAATTCAGAAATTCAGAAAATTTCGAAAAAAAATTGAACTTTCTGAACTTTTGGGGTCCTTTTTTCAAACCCAGAAAAACCAAGAAATTAAATTTTGCATAATTTTAGTGTCTTCTTTTTTTAGAATCTTAGAATTTATAAATTCGACATTTCGAAACCCCAAAAAACTTCTTCTTTGTAATTCTAGATTTTTCAATAATTCTAGTTCAAAAATTCAAATAATCCGGTCCTTCTCAGTGCACATGAAAAAGTTCTTTGTTCTTTTTTTTGGGATTTTTTTGGTGAAACAAAAAAAGGAGGATATGATGATAGTACAGGGGAAGAAGGAAAAGGAAAAAAGTGTGAAAACAAGGAAATGAAGGGAATTCGCAAAAGAAATTATTCTTCTTTTTTGGGAGCTGCTTTTTGGGTAAAATAAAGGAAATCGGAATACTTTGCACAATTTTACCCTTATTCTCACGTTGAGGTCAAATATCTCGGTTACTATAAGAGATACCTGAAAATTGTCAACTGACAAAATGTTAGTGATAACATGATAAACATTGTATTAGTTGACAACTTTTTGATATCTCTTACAGTAAGCTAGATAAATTATTTAATTTAAAGTTAAGTGATCATAGTCCCCTTTAAAGGCGCAACCTCGGTTATTGGCCCTCTATACTTTGAGCTCAATTATCGCGATTAGAGTAAGAGGTATCAAAAAGTGGTAAATAGATAAAATGTTACTGATGATGTGATAAACGTTTTATCAGTTGACACAATGTTGATATCTTTTACAGCAACCGAGGTTAATCAATTTAAAGTTTAGTCATCAAAGTTCTGCTTTAAAGGCGCAACCTCAGATATGGAACCTGTTTACTTTGAGCTAAATTATCTCGGTTACTGTAAGAGATATCAAAAATTTGTCAACTCATAAAATATTAGTGATATCATGATAAACATTTTATCAGTGAACAACTGTTTGATATCTCTCACAGTAACCGAGATAATTGAGCTCGAAGAGCCAGTTTGAGGAAATTAGGAAATTTTGAAGTTCAAGACAATTTTGAATTTTGAAGTATTGCGAAAAATAGTAATTTTTCAAGATTCGAAATTTTTGAAACAGCAATTTTCAAAGATTTTTCTAATTAAAAATTTCTGGGTTTTTAGGATTATTTTGATTTTCAAATTCATTTTTGAAACTCAATGAAATGTTTAAAATTGAAATTTTGGAATCCATTTTTAGTGTCAAAATTCCGAAATTTGAGAAAGAAGAAACCCTAAAACTTCTTATAAAGTGAAATCCTATTACTTTTTTTATGAGAAAAATACGAAAATTCCTAATTTTCTAGGAAAAATGAAATTTATGAATTTCTTAAGAAACTTGTTTAAACAATAATTTTAAAAAAATTACTGTTTCAAAATTCCCTGAAATCTTTTATTTTGAATTTACAGTATTCCTCATCCAAATCATGGTTTCAAATTTTCAGCGTTTTCAGATTCTTTTTCCAATGCTCGTGATCTCAGTAATATGAGAAAAAAAATGAAATGAAAAATAAAAGTAGAGAGATTCAAAAAGTAATAATAATGGTTTGTTTTTATAAGGAAGAATCTTCCCCATGCTCCCTTAGGGTTCAGAGAGAAGAGAAATAGTATGGGAAATGGAGAGAGTGGTTAGAGAAAAGAGAAAAAATAGGGAAATGAGATGGGGGGAAGAAATGAAACTAGTGGAAGAAAATGAAGCTGAAAATGGTGGGGGAAAACAGAGAAACTAAATGAGGAAAGTTTCAGAAAAAAAAACGAGAAATTCAGAGATTCAGATGTTCAGAAGTTCCAGAATTTTCTTGAAATTTTATTATGGGAATTCAAGAATTCAGGATTTTAATTTTGAAGCGGCAATTCTTGGGACTTGCTGTTGCAATATTGAAAAAAAAGGAAATGATACTTTCAAAATATTCGAACTGATCTTTCGTTTTCTGAAAATTGTTATTCCGAAAATTGAAAAAAAATTACTGTTTCAAATTTTGGTCATTTTTCTAATTCTTACACCGTTTTTGATGACCAATCAAAAATTCCAGAGGAGAAATTCGGGATTTTAGAAATTCCTGTAAATCCTTCAAATGAGAAATTTAAGAAATTA